TTCTTATATTTTTATCAGTTTGTAGGGATGACAATTAAAATCGAACATATAGGTACTTGTCCGAACCCAACCTGAATTTAACGAGAAAACCCGATGTGATTGGGTTCGAATTCGGATTTGGATTTTACCCGATGTTAACTTTCGAGTTCGACTTTGATATTGTTGATACCCTAACCCGAATTCGCCCCAAACACGAATAATGTATGTAAAATTATAAAATTATACATAAAGACTTATATAAAAGATATATATATATATTTAACATAGAACCTGTATGTATAAAAATATATGTTTTGGATGGGCTTTTCGAGTTACCCAAAACCCGACGTTTGATTCGAGTTCGAGTTTTTTATTTAGGATTTAAGGTTAGGTAAGCATAAATTCGACCCGTCTTCACTTGTGTGGTTCATTCCAATCAATTTGGTATGATTTTCCATTCACTTAGTCTCAGTTGTTGCCCCTTTGATATCTTCCGATATAACATTAGTCTCCCTTGCTTGTAAGTTATCTTCCTAAATGCCGTTGACCAACATGGTCCGTCATGATCTATAGATCGTAGTGGGCCTTACTTGTCCAAGTCCTATTCTATTGACCAATCCTTAGACTAATGTTTTTTTTGGTCTTGTTCGAACACTGTCTCCAACTAATTTCACGGTCATCACTCAAGAAGCCCGTCTCTTATTGAATCTATGGCCCCTAAATCCAAAGCCGCGAAAACCTCCGCCGCTTCATCCCCGGCCACAGCCCCCTTCAACGCAGGTTCTGCTGTGGAAATCAGCCCCGACGACCACGGTTTCCGCGGTTCTCTTTTCACCGGAAAGATCATCCGCCGCCTCGCCAACGACAGGGTCTTGATCGAGTACGACAACCTCATGGCCGACGAGAGCGGTTCGAAGCGATTGAGAGAGAACCTAAAACTTCACCAGCTCCGGCCGATTCCCCCAACGGAGACATGTCGGGAATTCAAGTTCGGCGACGAGGTTGACGCGTACCATAATGATGGGTGGTGGGAGGGTCACATTACGGAAGAGTGTGGGAATGAAAGGTTCGCTGTATATTTCAGAGTTTCGAGGGAGCAGATAGTGTTCCATAAAGAAGAACTCAGACTCCACCGTGAGTGGTTCAATGAGAACTGGGTTCCTCCATTCCCACAGAAGCAACAGGAAGAGGTATGCGATTTTCTTTTTACCTTGAACGTTTTTCAATTATGTTGTAATTATGATCCAGTCTTTATTTGTTTAATGTTTATTGATGTTTGTTGCATTAGACATCAATCTAGGGCTAAAATCATACCATTTGTGATAACAATAGTGAAGGGGCATTAGTGCACTATCTATCAAGCATTTTATTTTTATACATAGAATTTAAATTATTGTAACACGCTCTGGAAGACATATCCATTATGTACTGTTGCAATCATGATGTTGAGATAAGGAAAATGTTTTTATGTACAATTGTGTTGGACACCCTGCATAGATATTGTACATTGATGTGAGTGTGGTTGGGTATTGAGGTGTCTCATATTTTTAAGGTAAGTAGACTTACTGCATGCAAAATAAGATATGTGTCAAATGGGGTGTCAAATCTAATTCGATAATTATTACAGATGATTGAGGTAATTAGTTCAAAGTCGTTATATGCTACTTAAGTGGTGTGTATATAACATGTAGGGCAGTGATATCATACTTAGAGGGTGACACAGTACACGAGGATCCCATCTAGTGAGGTATAGGGAGAATAGATGTACACAATCTTACCTTACAAGCAGAGAGGCCTTTTCTAGGATTTGATCTCACGGGTTCTAGGTCACAAGGAAGTAACCTTAAGCAACCTTACTATTGCGCTGAAGCTCATCCTCATTGTAGTATCATACTTGAATGCAAATGTGATTTGTCTAGTTTTTCTCTCGGTAGATGAGGGGTACTAGGATTTTCTTTCTTGACTTGAACAGAGACCATGTAATGAATTGCATGTCAGGATATTAATAATGTTAGTTTTACTATAATTTAATTGTTTTTTTGAGTGATTAAGATATTGAATTGCAGAAAGTGTTGTTTACACCAACTGTGATGTCTGCTGAAACTGTGACATCAGATGTGAAGTCTACTGAAACTGTGACACCAAATGTGAAGCCTGTCGAAATTGTGATCGGGGAGGAGAGGTTTAGTGTAGGGACCCTAGTTGAGGTTAGCAGTGACAAAGAAGGTTTCCAAGGAGCTTGGTTTTGTGCCACTATTGTACAAGTGATAGGAAAGAGAAAGTTCCTTGTTGAGTATCAGAGCCTACTTGCTGATGATGATTCCCAGCTTTTGAGAGAGGAGGTTAATACCCAACACATTAGGCCACATCCGCCACAGACTGTTGTTGATGGTCATTTTAGTCTTCTTGAAGAAGTCGATGTTTTTCACAACTATGGCTGGTGGGTTGGCATGGTTTCTAAAGTTCTTGACAACTCAGGGTATGTAGTTTACTTCAGGAACAACAGTGAAGAACTAGAGTTTCAGCACTCCCAGTTGAGGAAACACCAGGACTGGATTGGTGGCAAATGGATCATGGCTTCAAAGGTATGGCCCCATGATTGTATGGTACAACAATCAAGCCTTTATCACACTAGGTGGGGTCGGTTACATGAATTGAGCGATGTCATAACGCTCTACCATAAATCCAGTTATTCGACAAAACATTAATCTCTAAGTCTTTTTTATTCATTTGGCCGATGGCTTTTTGGTCTTCCTCTTTCTCTAGGAATTAGACTAGACTCCATTTGATCTACTCTTCGTACAAGGGACTTTTATTGGTCTCATCCGCACAAGTCTAAATCACCTAAGCCATGATTCTACTATCTTTTCTATAATAGGAGTTACTCCAAATTTCTCTCTAATGCACTTATTTCTATATCTTGTCTAGTGTGTCCATTCATTCAATGCATCATTCACATCTCAGCTACATGGAGACTACTTTCTTGTTGACATTTTATCATCCGATGTTAAGTCTCATGTAACATTGCAGGTCTTATAGTCGTGTGGTAAAGCTTCCCCTTAACCTTGGGTGGTACTTTTTATCATATATGACACATGAAGTACTCTGTCATTTCATTCAACCCGCTTGAATTCTATGGTTCATATCTCTGTCAATTTCTCCATCGTCTTGTATGATTGACCCAAAGGTACCTAAATCTAGTGACTTGTGGTATGATATGATCCTGAATCTTTACTTTTACAGTAGGGTTTATCCGCCTCTTGCTAAACTTTACACTCCATATACTCCCTCTTACTTCAACATATACGAAATCCATGTGCTTCTAAAGCATGTCTCCATATCTCTAACTTGCCATTTAATTCTTCTCTCGAGACCAATGTATATAAGTAGAGGCTCAATGTTGACCTTTGATGTAGTCCTTTGGCAATATGAAAATTTTATGAGACCTCGTCATGTATTTTCACTGGTCTTGGCCCCATCATACATATCTTTGTATTGCTTGAACATAGGTAATTTGAATACCTTTTCTTTTCTAGAGTTTTTCACAAAATCTTTGTACACAACTTATCATGTCTTCTTCAAATTAATAAAGACTATGTGTGAGCCCCTTTGGTTCCTTGATATCTTACTATCATGGAATAGCTAATTCATATTTTCCTAACTTTCTTGCTTTGATGTTCTAAACATATTCTGATAATCATTGACTTAATTTAAGTGAATGCATAAATGTAGCTTTTGGATTTGCATGTAGGCAAGGTAGCATACAAATATGTTCTGCCTCAAGAGGCGAAAATTCATCTTGTGTTTCATGTGTCACTACTCAAATATGTCATGGGTGTATCTGGTAGTCATTACATTATACTTAGTAGCTTCCCTGGATATGACTTCTGGGTTTAATGCTCATCACTCTCTCTGAATGATGATGAGGGCTGAGGTAATGGGTTCAAAGTAAAAAGGGATGTCCATATGAACTATGAAGTGGAAAACTTCCATAGTTTTGAAATGTATGTCTTCTCTAGCCAGCCATGAACTTTGAGAATAATCTGTCAAAATAGAATTTTGGATTGACACTGCTTATGAATGTGGTGTTGTTCTAATATGGGAACCTTCTTTTTTTAGTCAGGAGCATGTTAGCATTATGAACTATAAAAGTTGGACAAAATATTCATTTTGCTTTGAAGAGATAATAATATTTTTAGGAATATTATAGTAATGTCAATTTTAAAACTAATAAATAAAAAAATATAATTTCTGCTCTCTCTCCCCACCTTGTCTTTCTCTCTGAAAATAAAAAATCTGTAACACCAATTTAAAAGTGGTAGACAGAGATTTGGATAGGACCCTGACCATAGTATTGCTGGCTAGGAGCACAAGGAAATTGAGTGTATGACTCACAATAACCACTTGGTTTTAGTTCCCTAACAAAGCATTATCCCCAAGAATATGGGTCATTTGGATTTAGCCACCCCTATTAATCATTATTAACTTGTTTGTATTATTGATATCATTGATACAATTAATTAAATCGTAAAACAAAATAGAGTGACAAGAGAAAAATTAAAGAAAGCATACACTACTTTTATGGGAAGTTTGGGCTAAGAAAGGTGCAATCTCCCTTTTGCGAGAGGTAGTATCCCTAGTGGAAACCAAGTTGGGGAAAGACTTGGAAGCAGCAATGAAAGCATTATAGGTGTACAATCCTTCTCCCTCTACCACTTTTCAGCACGTATGGAAGAAAATTGGGTACATGTTTTTTATTTTCAGAATGAGGAAAGAAAGAGGGATGGGGAAATTGATGTTACTAAAATGACCCTAACAATATTATTATCTCTTCAAAGCAAAAGAGATATTTTTTTCAATTCTCCATGTTATCAAACCTATATACTCACACCTATATATATGTGTATATATATCATCTATGGAATCTAGATACAATTACAAGTTTCTTAGCATTTGCTTGTGCTGTTAGTGATAGGTTATTAGCATTGACGTTGACATGTTAGCCTTTTTCATATAGATCATTGATAGTAATCAGAGTTAAAGTACAAATTTGGTAGGAATTCAATAACTCTATGCAAGGGGAAGTAAGCAATTGGTCTAACCTTGCCTGTCAAATTTAGTAAATCATATATCATCCTTTGGCATACGAAATATTTATTGTTTTGGAGATGTTGAATTGCAATGCTTTTTGCTTACACTTTTTCAGGTGTTGTTATTGTGAATGCTGCAGAGAGTGCAAGCGATAGAAGAAAAAAACAGTTTCAGTCCAGGCAAGCTCTGCAGTTCCTAGTAACTTTAATGTGAAGAGACAAATCCTTTATATTTTAGGACATGCCATATGAATCAAACTTGAACCCACCTTGTCAGATATGCTGATGGTAGGTTTTGGTTCCCAAACAAAGGAGTCTATTTTGTTGTTGTTGATTGTGTCCTTATTGAGAATTTAGTGGAATTGAAAGAGAATACTAAAATTCCTTATATATAAAAACAACAGATGAAGTGGGGGGAAGCCCCTTTGATATCTTGAGAACTCAATGTATTGGTACTAAATTCATAAATTTACCATGGCTTACTCCCATGTGAACTGAATTTAACTTCATTTTTTTTTAATATTTAAGTTATAGAAAGGATTTAAAACAACCTATTAATTTGCATCATCATCAATATTGTCGTGAATGCCATGCAACTTCACTAGCAATATTAAGTATTATATTTCATTTATTCGAGTGCATAAAATACCACATTCTGAGTCTTTGACCATAAATAGCTTGCACTATAACTAAAAATGGAAACCATGACAACTTACTAGTTACTACAACAACATAATAAACTTATAAACCAACAACATAATAATTAAAGTAAATAGAACACTCACAACCTCAGAAATTCATAGTGATTAAATCAAACTTCTTTGACTCCAACAGCACCAGCTTCTTCTTTCACTTTCACATTTCCCTTCACATCCTTATCATCGGCTTCTTTCTCTTCAATCTCAAAAGCTGAGACTGGGAATGTCCTGAAAAGCCCTGAATGGACCTTGAATGTGATCTTACCACTGGAAGGATCATCCAAACAGATTTCATTAAGTGTGAGCCAAACCAAAAGTTCCTTAACCTTCACACCAGTGAGTTTCTTTATTTTACCAAACTCTACAGTGGCAGTGACTTCAGGTGCATAAGACACAAGCTTCCCAACCTTGTCAAACTTGTGAGTTATGCTTTTCTTCTGAATAAGCCACACAAACCCACTTTCCCTATCATAGCCACATTCTTCAATGTCTTTCAATGGTAAAAGACCATTTGGTAAACCTATTTCTTTGAGAAGTTCTTTGGACTTTATTTGACCCATTTCATCTCCATGGTACATCTCTGATCTTGCTTTGATTTCTTCTGAGACTAGAACCATCGTTTTCTTTGTGATGTTGATTTTCTCTTTTTATGATATTTGGAATAACCTAAAAGGTAATGCGATTGTGAAGGATCAAGGTTCATGGTAGGGTTCATATAGTTCTCAATCTATGACTTTGCCCTTCTCTATCCCATTAATTACATCTCTTGCCACTCTTCTTTGAACAACCTTAGCGACTGATTATTTCCATTCCAAATTATTTGTCTAATTAAAAAAACATTTTAAAAAATCTAATGATTGTGTTGACCAACATGTGTTTTTTTTCTAATATATTCTTTCTATTTTGGTGGTAATTAATTTTTTCCTCATTATTTACTTGAATCAATGAATTATTAAATAAGGTTAAACATGAAAATGAATATTAGTAAAACTTAAATTTATAAACGGGAAAGATAAATAGGAATAAGAATTCCTCAAATTGGACAAATAACTCTGGGGAGAAACAGGAAATAAAATATATGTTTTGTCTCATTTTTTATTAAGGAAAGTTTTGAGAATCTGGTGATGCTATATAAAGTGGTTGTATTTTCAGGTAAGATATTGATTTGGGTAGGACATATTTTATCTCAAGATATGCAATACGTAATGTATTATTTAGTTTTCGATCGAAAAAATATAAAACTAATAAATATTTAATTCATATTTTATTTTTTGGTAATACAAAACAAACAGTATATTGAATGATATAAACTTTGGGATAAAATATACATCATTCTTATGTGATATCCAATATTATTAGTTTTGGGTTATTTTTAACATTTATTATGCAATGTGTAATCATTAATTACTTGGTTCCTCAATATTGAATGCTACACCTATCACCGATATACTATAAAAGTTAGGGTCTTGATGACTACTGCCTATAGACTGGTGGATGAGTAAAAAAAGATAACATTTTTATTAGAAATCACAACCTTTATTACATTTTTAATGTATTAAACTATGTTCTTTTTTAATGAAATTCTCTATATTTCGTTTGCTGTATTAAACTATGTAAATAAGGTTCTTTGTTGTGTATTCATTGACACGTGTCTAAAAATACCAAAAATAAGGTTTGTTACCAAAAATTAAGCTACATCAGATTATAGGAAAAGGATTTAGTATTTAGATTTTTGTTTTGAATAACATATGTACTATTTCTTTTGATTAGCCAACAGATAAATTAAAAATTAATTAACTTATAAATTAATATAAAAATCTTAACTAATTAAAAGAGTTAAAAAAATCACACATTTGACAGAAAAATTAGCTAAACAGAAGGGAAAAAACATCTATTTATTCATTAATGATTCCTTCAGCACCATAAAAAATTGATGATACATTTCTTACATGAGTTTAAATTATGTTATTAGATTTGTTGACATATATATGCCACATTGATCCCGTAATAAACTCTAAAATAATATGAATATTAATAGAATTTATATATTAGTGTAAACAAAATCTTACACTAATAATACATAAGCTATTTTTTATTGTATGTATATCAAGTATATGTGCGAAAAATTCAATGGAAATATTAAAATATCTAAAATATGTAACAAAAATACATAAATTTAACAAGGGTAGCATTATTCGTTATCATTGACTACTAATGCAGTGGCTTACCAAAAAAAGACTACCACTAAAACATTTCTATAAACAATAATCTTATATCCTCATTCTAAATTATTCTATAAATTCATTTCATCGTATCATTTATAAATAGGAAAATGATATATCATCATACTAAATTCTCTTACTAATCATCCTACTTACAAGAAAGTGACATATGTCACTTATATACCAATCACTAATAAATAAAGTATTACTTTGTGACATATATCATTTTTTCGTGGGTATGAGGATTAATATGAGTATTAAGAAGGAGAATATAATATTACTCTTATAAGTATTATATATTATATATTACTTGTAAATATATTAGTTGTAAATAAATCCTTAATAAACAATAATAAATTATCAATTATGTTAATTCTCCTTTTCCAAAAAGATAATGGTTGAAAATTCTAGAAACGCTTTTTGATTCATGATAGATTAAACATTTAATGTATAATAAAGGAAGTAGCAATCAGTTGGAGAAAGAAGCCAATGAAAATGGTGTACGTGTAATATAATATAGTTGGGAAGGTCTACATTTGTGATTAATATATGCTCTACCTGTTTCCTCACCTACACACCTCACATAAAATTTAATTATGTGTATTATCACACACTCATGATTACTAATTTTCATGCTATTATCATTCTTAATAATTAGATAAATGAAAATGATATATCTTCGTACTAAATTCTCCTAATAATTTTCATACCCATAAAAAATTAACATATGTCACTTATAACTCAATTACTAATAAATAAAGTATCATTTTATAATATATGTCACTTTTTTATGGATAAGAAGATTAATTGAAGATTTAATAGGAAGATATAGCATTAAAGAAAAGATGAGAGAAAATAGGGTTGCTGAGTCAATTTTGCAGTCCATTAGGTATTTATCGCTTACTCCTTCATTTTCTCATCCAACCATACTCTTAAAGATGGGATGGGTTCCTGACTGGTATTGGAGAGCTAGTCCACATCCTAATGGTATCTATAAAAAATTTAAGAGTCCAAATTTGATTTTAATTTTAAATTAAATAAATAAATTTAGCAAAATATTCATCCATTTGCATTCCAGTATTGAATTCAATTGTAGAGAAGTTTTGTTCCATAAAAACATACAGTATTAAGCATTTATTTACCTACTCATTCAATTTGTGTGTCACTTCTAATATATTATCATTTACATCATTTTTAACCAGAAATATTAAACTGCTCCATCAAGAAGGCGTCGTTCTAGTGGTACAATATCTTGTTAGGTCTTCAAGATGACCAAAAGGTCCTCAGGATTGAATTGGTGGTGATGGGTTTGAGTAGGTTATAATAAGGAAGGGTGAGTAGGACTTGATCTACTCGTTCACTTGATTTGGCCTGATTATGATTGGATTAGAATGTGATCGAGTTTAATCAGGTCTAGAATTGAGTTCAAGTTCAAAAATTAGATTCGATTAATCTTTAGGGCCACTAAGAGACAAACATGACCTGACCTGACCCGTCTCATGATCACTCATTACACATATATGTATATGCATATTCGATTGTGCTCGAAGTATTAACGTATCTTTGACGCAAAGTAGATAATACATATTGTTGTAACCGTTTATCTATTATAATATAATTTGATATTTTAAATCATGTTTTTCAATTATTTTCGCTAATTATTTAGGGTACTTTTGTATAAATGATTTATTATCATAATGTGTATATTATTTCATATATTATTGATTCTCTAGTTTTTCCATTCATATGTACTAATTAACAATAAATATATATATATATATATATATATATATATATATATATATATATATATATATATATTACTTCATATGTCAAATTGATATAGTAACAATTAATAATATTAATAATATTTTATATAAAAGATATATACACTATATTTAATTGTGTCTAGGTTTAGGGTTGGGTTTAAGAACTAGTTCGGTCAACAATTGGTTTGGGTTATTTTGAGGTGTAGATTATGATTCAAAAATTATACTCGATTAATATTGAGGACCAAATATAGAACAATCATAAGTGACACATGTTCACCCCTAATAATAAGTTATTTGTTCAAAGTTCGAACTTCATTCCTACATGATAATATCCTAGTATTACTTATCTATTTAGAATTATATTTGAGTGAGTATCAGGTGAGAATTCTCCAGTGTTGGAGACTATAATATATAAAAAATAAAAGGAAAAAATAATATTTTGTAACATTTTTAATGAAACTATATTTTTACCTTTAAATATTAAAGCAAAAGCAACGACTCGTGTTTTTAGTTGTGAGGGTGTTATTTTATGTTAGTATCAAATTTCGTTCATTAATTAAATATGACAATTATTTTAATATATAATATATATTATTTAGGCATGAAAATCCAACACCTATTTATTATGGAAGAGTTGCATAGGTCGTGGTGCACTATGAGAGTACTAATTAATGAGACGCGAGAAATACTCTTGTTTTATGAAATTCACCGTTTATCTATATCTATAATATAGGTTATGTAAACACTAAACAGTACTATATGCACACAGATTATGACTTTAAAATGGTGATTA